CTGGGGAGGGGGAAGGAACGGGGTGGAACGGGTCATTGGGGAGAAAAAGGGACATCTGTAATATTTTAAACAATAATAAAATTTAAAAAAAATAAATAAAAAAACAACAAAAAAAACTAAATAGCAAAACCAACCACCGCCAACAACAAAAAGCACAGGGTTTTTTTCTTCTATTATATTGCCTTTTATATTATCCTCGTAGGTCATGAGAAAAATATTTGAAAGGGAAGCAACAATGTTTACATGGATTCCAAGTCTGGCAGTCACTTTGAAATTAGATTCTTGCTCCGTTATATAGTCCTTCGTCTCTATTCTTACGTTTCAGCTCTTAGCCTCTTAAAATAAATGTCAGCCTTCTCAGTTCCATTTTCTGCTTTGTCAGCATGTCATTGGCTCATGTTCTACGTTAATAACAGCACACAGTGGAAGGTCTCTGCTCGTGTTGTCAATGAAAATCTTTGTCTATCTGATTCTTGGCCTCAGCTGGTGTTCGGCTTCCTTCACTTACTAATGCAGAATGCTGAATTCTCAGAGCTGTGCTGACTGAAGAGCAGCCAGCGCTCTGTAGGTTGTATTTCTAGCTTTATGCAGAATTAGCAGCATGACCCCTCAATGAGTGTATTTCCTGCNCTGAAGAGCAGCCAGTGCTCTGTAGGTTGTATTTCTAGCTTTATGCAGAATTAGCAGCATGACCCCNGAAGAGCAGCCAGCGCTCTGTAGGTTGTATTTCTAGCTTTATGCAGAATTAGCAGCATGACCCCTCAATGAGTGTATTTCCTGCATGACTTTAACATGAAATTTAAAAGAATCATACCCCAAATATGATAAGTCAAAGAGTTTCCTGGCCTCTGTTGGACACGTGGTATTTTGATAGCAGCTTTAAGCTCCTTTGTTGATTTTTTTAAGCATATAATGAATTGTGTATGACACACGTGAAAAGGAGACCAGACCACCCAAGTCTTTGTGGTGTATTGTTAGGGCCTTAGGGACTCTTTGGAGAGTGTACTTAACAACTGCTGATGACATCGGATAGATGTGAAAAGTTGATCTGAAGTCCTCATGGTGTTTCTCAGCTTCCGCCTTTCGCTCAGACCATGAGGCAAGTCAGAGAAACAATAATCTCTTTTTATGATCAAAATACCTCTGAATGTAATCAGGATGGAACTGCTTGCATTAAGTTTCTTTCTGCAGCTCCTGGTGCCTGGAGAAGTTTCACTTTTCAGAGAGAAGAGGTGACTCCTACTGTACTGTCCTGGGACTTTTGTCCCGCTCGTAATTTGGGGGTGGATCATCAGCCATGTTCTGTAAACTTGGCTTTGAAAGACTGTGGCAGGGACTTCCCAGAAATGAGGAACTGGCAAATGCTGAAGTCAGCTTTCTAGACTTGCTTTTCAAAAACAGTGATAATACTTATCAATGATACTTAATAACGCTTAAAACAGGTCATAACTGTGGACTAACTTGGGAATTACAGGCATTCTTTAGGCACTCTGGATTTCAGGATAAAGCTCATATATACGTATAGTGTCCCCCAAAAATGTATACACACACTTTGAATAATTATAAAGGTAGTGTTTATGAAAATACATTTCATTTTCAAAATTGAGCTATCAGTGTGTATACATTTTGGGGGGAATGTATATAAATATACATATATGTATATTTATGTATGTATATATGTATATTTATGTGTGTGTGTGTGTGTGTATATAGATAACATCAAGTCTCTCTTTTGCTTATTTCGAACACTTGGCCAAGGTTATTCATGGACTTGCTCAGTCCTGCTTGCTCAGAGTCCCTTAAATACTACGTGCTCGGTAGTTCAGCCCAGAACTCAGCCCCACGCTCCTTCCCCCATCTTCTGCCTCAGCTGCTCTTGCGTGTGGGCCGTAGAGTTGCTAGGATGGCGCTTATTGGCTCACTGGGCTCCAGAAGACTCCCTGATCACGTATCACAACATCTACACGGTGTTAAACACTCACCCACCTTTGCCATGGAAGATGGTAATTTGGAGAACTGTTTTCTCCCTCCCCCATTGTGACATCATGTGTATCTGTACAAGTCCCCGCTGTGAGAGGCTCACTGGCCTGGCTGCGGGAGGGCCTGGGGACTGAGTGGTTACCCTGCGGGGCTGCGTTGACTGTTTCTGGGGGCAAATGATGAGTAGTCGTGAGGAGCTGAAAATGGAGCAGAACCAAGAAGGTGACAGCCAGGAGAATGTAAGAATGGGACAGAGGCAAGGCCTTGTGCCAAGGGCAGGGCTAATGTGCCCAGAGTTGGTTTTTCGTTTTCGTTTGTCTGTCAGTGCTTGCTATTTGGGACATGGGCTGGCTGAGTCAAAACAAAACAAAACGTAACAAGACAAAACCAAAAATGTAGTGACTGAGTGGATGACCCTAAATTGCCTAAATGGCTTCCTACACCCCTAAGTGTAGAAAGTTTAGGCGCCTCTCCTGATGGCGGCCGTAGAGCAGGAGAGCACATTTCTCTTATAGAGAATCGGGGGGTGTCAGTCCAGTGGCCACACAGGTTTTTAGCAAAATCCTTTTAGGGTCTTACTGCTGAGTGATGAGCTTAGCAAGACGTCAGAGTTTGGAGGTTTATCTTGGATGATTTTCTGTGGTTGGATAGGCTGAAGTTGGTGAGTTGATATTCTGAAATTGTTTTAACCAGAGCCACTGAACTCTTTAGTTTCCGATTCTAAATAGCCTGCTGACCTTTTAAATTTAGTTCATAAGATATGAGAACTGGCAGAGAGTTTTATGTCACCTCTTTGACGCCCTCCTGGAGCCCAGTCATTGTTCATTCATTTGTTCTTTTGTTGATTTCCTCGAGCATCGACCGTGTGGTTACTCAGCAGGGGATATACTGAGACACAGATCTGATAGATTTTGATTCTTCTGTGATCTGCTAACTTACTTATAAACACTGAGCTTTTTGTTAATTCTTATTTGCAACCTTGGCTCTGATGATGTCATGGTGTCAGGGACAGGTAACGGTGGCATTGAGCTGTCGCTGGTTTTTTCAGTAGGTGTTAGACTTGCTTCCCTTAAGAGTGACTTTATTTCCTTCTAGAATTATAGGTTCCAGTTGGATTGCATCTTCTCAATGAAGCTAGTCCCTGTTTGTGTTAGAGCTTATTTAAAAATTTAAATAAATATAAATTTAGTTTTGTTTGCATTTATTTATTACATAACTAGAATAATTTGCTTTGCCCCCTCCACTTTTCCACATAATCATTGTGCTAGATTATGTTTTCTAAAAATATGTAAGTCCTTTTTTTCATTTCCTTTAGGACAAAAAACTAAGCAAAGTAAATTATATTTCTCAATTTAAAACACATCAGAAAATTCTAAAATAAAGATTACCATGCTCCCATGAATTTTATGATACCTGCAGCAATCTTTTTTTTTTTAATAGAAAGAGCTTTTATGAAACTGTTAATAATTGTATCTTTGTTCAGTATTACATATTTTAAAAAATATGGCTGCTTTCCAAATGCCACAAATAGTTTAAACCACTTTATCTGTTAGAGATCTTTTTAAATGGAGTCACTGGTTAATTCTGAAAGCAGCTCCAACACAGAGTTTATAATCTGTTAAATCATGACTCAGAGTTTGCAGAATTAAAAAGAAAATCATAGCTGGCTGTTTTCTGATAGTTTGGAACTTGGCACCGACAAGGAAACTGCGAGCAGTTACTTCAGCTGAACTTGAAACCACCATTTAAACTTGAGCCCTTTTAACAAAACACACATAGCAGTCCAACTCGGAGGGTTTTTTTAAACTTTGTGCATATAGAAAGTTTCCCACCTCCCTTTCTCATTTTTATCCGGTGGATACATTCCAAGCATCCTGGAATCTTTTATGTGGGGCTCATTTATCCCCTAAGATTGGATCCTTGCTGTTTCACATGCCAGAGCGAGTTGGCATTCGGGTCACTTCTCGCCCCGACAAATAGCTTAGCTTGGGGCTCTTTGGAGAATTGCTGCAGATGTGTGTGTGGGGGGGGCCTAGGGGATGATGAAACCCAGTGGGTAAGGTTTTCTTAACTTATGAGTATTCTGCGGGTAACCAGGGCATTTGAGGGATTCAACAGTACCACCCACGGAAAGAAGAAATGTTCCTAAGTAGGAGAGAGAACTTAATTGGAAGAGAAGAGTGAAAAAGAGGACTGTGGAGGCAGATAAAAAGGAAAGGATATGTATTTGTTCCAGTAAATAAGAAAATTAGCATTGTAAGCAAAACCATTGTCACCCCCGCTTTATATGGTAACCTCTACTTTGGGGTACAGCCCCCAGCTTCCCTACCTGGTTGCTTTCTTCCTTCCCAGCCCCCCCCCTTTATTTTTAGTGATTTTCCTCTCTCCTGGGCTTTCGTCTGCACCCCTCAGTGTGCCAGTCTCTGCACAATAGGCCATTGTCCCCGCAGATGCCTCTCGCCCTGAATGCTCACAGCCTTTCCGCTGCCCTGCCCGCCGCTGGCCAAGTGAGGACAGAGGGGCTTTCTCTCGGGGGCGCTGCCCTGTGTGTGCCGAGCCGGCGCCCTGGCTCTTCTTCTAGGACGTCTCGGTGCTTTTTTCTTCCTGACTTAGGAATGCATGCTCGTTCGGTCACTGCTTGCTCTGAATGCCCTTTTTGTGCCCACAGGGAGAGAGATGACTTCATGTCCGCGCTGGTTTCCGTAAGGAGCAGCTTGACGGACGTGCAGCAGAGAGAAGCCGGCGCCTACGAGCAGGTGAAGCTCGCTGTGCAGATGACCGAGGAAGCCAATTTCGAGAAAACCAAGGCAAGTCTAACGAGATTAGATCAAGACATGCCGTGATGGCTCTTTTTTTTTCTTCCCTCTGAGTGTTTCCTTTTTCATTTTTTCATAACTAAACTCTTTTATCCAGACACGCAAAGCGAGTACCAATCTGCTAATGTTGACTCTGCTGTTTGGAGAGCTCTTACGCGTCTGCTAGTGCTCTTGTTACATCACTGTTCAGAGGACATGGTACATGGCGGTGAAGGGCTTCGGGAGGCTCTTATTTAATCTTTTTGTTTGCTGATAATTTTTACTGCTGTTAAAGTCTTAACACCCATATGTGCATGTTCATGGATGACTAAAGACAAATGTTTTTTCTCTATACACGGGGAATTCTGACAACATCCAAATATGCCACAGGTAATAATATATGTATTTAATAGCGTCCTCAGCTATGAGACTGGATCCGCTGTATATACTAAATCAGACCTGTTTAGCGATGCCGCTGCTGACAGTAGAGTTAACATTTAGTGACCAGACGGTGTTGTAGGAACTTTGAAGAGTAGGAGTTACACTTGGTTCATAGCTGTGTTTGGGGGCCACACCTCAATCCATTGAAGTTGCCCTGTATTTTCCCTAGACACACTGTCCACAGGTAGCCGCGGTGACTGTATCGACTGTGGATGCAGACAGAACATTTCCACCGTCACAGAAATTCTACTGGTTAGCGTCAGTCTGAGCCACACGGGAGCATCAGTGTTTCACTAAAAGTCTGGGCCACTCTACAGTAAGCCTCCTCTCAGTCACTGCTTTATCCATTTGTTTCTCTATCAGGTTCAACCCCAACTCTTCCCAGACCATTGGACCATCGCTCTTTTCATTACTGATGTCCCCGTGCCGTCTGAAACTTATGTTCGGTGCTGACCAAACTCCCCAACACACTTTACTGTCTCCTTCAACACTCCCGTTGCTTTGTTTGTACTGAGGTCTAGTTGTCCCTTGATCATGACCCTCAGAACCTCCAGCGAAGGCCCTTTGCCAGTCATTTCCTCTCATCTGGCGACATGGCGGAATCAGAGTTCACTTCACTCCTCTCCCCAACCTTAATCAAGGTCAACTCTCAATCTGGATGACACTGTTTGACACTTTTTTAAAAGAAATGCATCCATTTTATTACTTGGGTTGATAAAATAGTTGTGGTATCTGACACTTTTCAAGAGCTTTAGCATCTGACCCTTTCCCCCTTGTCTTTGTCCATCCAGGCTGCTCTAGCAAAATTCCACAGCCTGGGTGCTTACACAGCAAACATTTATTTCCCACAGTTCTGGAGGCTGGAAGTCCAGTATCAAGGCACCGGCAAACTTGGTGTCTGGGGAGAACTGCACCCCGGTGCATAACCAGCCGTCTTCTCCCTGCATCCTCACGTGGTGGGAGGGTGAGGGAGCTCTCTGGGGTCCCTTTTTATAAGGGCACTGACCCGGTTTGCGCGGGCTCCAGCCTCGTGACCTGATCACCTCCTCGCACCACCGCATTGGAGGGCCGGGGTGAACGTATGCATCCGGAGGGACACTGACACTCATTCCGCAGCATCCCCTCTTTCGCCAGCCTAAAGGCCTCGGTATCCGCGTTGTTGGTAGGTGTACACCTTAGTCCCTGCACGGTCCCGACACACTTTGGCGTCCGTAGCTCTGGTTTCCGCTGTTCTGCGGTCACTCCCACGTTAACTGCGTGCCCGTGAGACCTCAGATTCCGAACCTGCTCTCTGACCGGAGCCCTTCCCCTGGCTCCCACCCCAGTTAGTCCGCTCAGTGTCTTCATTCCTGCCTTTACTTGTCCGGCCGCCTGTCCTGTCTCATTTTACCTGCTGTCTGCAGGCTGGTTTTCTTCCCTTTCCATGTCCATGTGCATTTCACAATCTCAGACTGAACTCATTACACTCACTCCCCAAAGCTGCGGCGATCCCCGCCTACTGAATGGCACCGTTGTCCACTGACAGACCCCGGCAGGAAACCTGACTGGCATCGTCCCCTTGTGCCTCACTCCAACCAGTCACGAAACGCTGCTCTTAGTTCCTGAAGTTACTGGGATTCTTTCTCCACTGTCCCCTTTCTAATTCAGGTGTAAGCTCTGGATTTATGAATCGTGAAAGACTCGTGTCCCTGCCTTTCCCCGTCCCAGGCAGCTGCAAGGACCTTTCTTCAAGGCGGATTTGATCATGTGACCGTCCTCTGTAAAGTCCTTCAGGGGTCTCCCGCCACCCTCACTGTTTATGATGTCGGCCACAATGCTTCCCTTTAACCCTCCCGTGTCCCTTTCTGTCACCCTCCTCTTACTCCCTGTCTTCCCACAGGCTCAGCCACCGTCAGCTGGGGGGCGGTAGGGTCTAGTGTGGGGCACGGTCATATCAGAGTCAGCCAGCCCGAGCTCAGCTTCCAGCCTCACTGTTCGCTAGCTGTGTGGCTTAGGGCAAGTTCTTTAATTCTCTGTGCCTCCGTTTCCCTCCTCTCTAAATGGAAATACTACAGGACTCACTGGATTGCTAACGGGAACTGCATTTTAAAATGCACATATAGGTTATTTTGTAGAAACTCTGGCACAAACTACTTTCTCAGTAAGTAGTGATGGGAGGGGGGATGGCTGTTAATTCCCCTGATGATGCTGTGTCCTGGCCAGCGCTGGGTCTTCGTAACTGCCACGCAGATTCTTCTACACTCCACTGCCTGGATATCTTCTCCACTTGTTCAGGTCTCAGCTTTCCTGCCACTCTCCCTGGAAAATCTCTGTTCCCATGTCCACATTTGATGTAACTCCTATGTACCTTTATAGCAGGTGTCTCAACCTGGGCACTGGTGACATTTTGGGCTACATAATTCTCTGTTTTGGAGGATGCCCTACATATTGTAGGACGTTTAGCAGCATCTCTTCCCCTACCCACCAGATGCCAGGACCACACCCCTCTTCTCCAAGTTCTGACAACCAAAAATGTCTCCAGACATTGCCAAATGTCCCCTGGGGGGAAAGGGAACAAAATTGCCCCCAGTTAGGAACCGCTCCTCATTACAGCATTTATCAAAATGAATCAACAGTGCCTATTTGCCCATATGCTTCATTAAGCTTTAAAATCTCTGGAAGGAATATAGCCATCTGTTCGCTATGAAATCCCTAGCATCTTGCACAGTACTTAGCACTTAATAGGTGCTCATTAAACATCCACTGACTAAGGGAGCTGCAGTGTGTCCTCACTAACCCTCTAGAATTCCTTTATTCTTTCCAGTTTACCTACTTTCCCAGTGCCAGTGAAAGTTAAGGCCAATCACATTTTAATTTTTTTTTGGTATCATTACTCTCAGTCTATCAAGCATTGCTGAAGAAAGCCATTGAACAAGGTGCCCAGGAGAGCGATCCTGGTCTCCCTCACTGGCTATAAGCGAGTTTAGACGGGACGTGCACTTCGCGTCCCAGCCCTGCTCTCAGCCCCTCATTCTCAGTGGATGACTCACTTTACTGAGCTCACGGCCTCCTGATGAGAGCCTCCCAAGCTCCTTCTCACTCACCAAGTGTGTCTTCTGCTCATTTTTTCTTGCTCATCTGGCCCTCTTATTTCCCAAGACGAATCTCTTCTCTCAGCTCTTGATATCGCCTACTTGTAGGGGTTCAGGGACCCTGCGCTGTTTGTCGTCACGCCTTCCTTTATCTCTCCCCCTTCCCTCTTCGGTCTCCCCCTCACCTGTCTACACCTGATGTTGTTGTTTAAACCAACAAGAGGAGCCTTCTTTGGATCAGCTTCCACTTAATTGATTCCCTCGGGAGAGTTCTCTTCTGGACACACTGCAGTCGGGTTTTCACAGCCCTTAGTCTGATTCACGCTGCCACACTGCACCCTCAAGGGTCTCCCTCAGGTCTCTAATGCCAGTGAGTCTTTCACGTGATGCCCAAGTTTTCCTGGATGTAAATTTCCCTGTTCAGGCGCCTCCCCTCCTGTAGGAGATTACAGGACAAACGCCTCAGCGTGACCTTCCAGATCTGCCACGACATGGCCCCACCAGGACTTTTCTGTCCTGGTCTTTCCCGACACTTTCATGTGATCTGTGCTGTTTTCAAAATGTGGCCCACAAATGAGCATTTCCATGAATTGTTCATGCTTGACTCTTCTGTATACATCTGTGAAATATCTATTCAAACCTATAAGGCTCAAGTCAAGTAGCCGTCTTCTCAGATGCTTTCCCCAGCCCCCTCTTGTTTGAATGACTCTCTTCCTTCTCTATATTCCTGTTGATCTGTGTGCAATTTTGGTAGCTGTTTACATAGCTCGCTCCACCAAAAGCCTTAAAAGTCAGCCCTGTGACATCTATTATTGTATTCCTCACTTGGCCGTTTACGTAAAAATTGCACAATAAATGTTTGTTGAACTGAGTTAAAGTCAATTATTAGCTTTAAATATTCATATGAATTTGTGTAGTATGTAGTTTAAAAATTTTAACAGTTAAGAACTAGAGAAGCTGCTGTGAATCTATAGCATTTTAAAATTAGTAATAATGCAAGGATTGATTTCTAAGCAGTTTACAGAATGCAGTGCAAGTCTACTAGTTTTATCTCTAAGGTATGTTAAAACACATCAGTAGCTCTGCTTTCTGAGAATAAAAACTGAGATTACATACATATTTTAATTTTGAAACCGACTACTTTATTAGTGAGCTATGAGGGGGTGACTTTGTTCTTATAATTCTTTGACATTTGGTGCCATCTAGTGTTCGATTTTGCATATTGCATGCAAGTAAGTGGAAGGAATTATTTTATATATTTACATTTATAGTGGCAGTGAAAACACCTGAGAAATGTATAAGATAATACATTTATAAATGAGAAAATTATCACTTCACGCCTATAGGTTCCATTGTGGAAGTACTTCAGGTCACATTTCTACTCTGCCACTTTCTAGGTTTTTGATCTTGAACAAGTTGCTTAATGGCTTAAAGCCTCAGTTTCTTCAACTGAGTAAGAGCCGCTTAAAATTTAGTGAGGGAGCAAAATAAATCAGTCCACATAAGCCATTTAGCAAAGTACCTGGCACATAGTAAGTGCTCAATAAATGTTTTTGTTTTTCTTTGAAAACTGCAAGTCATCATAATGGGCATAACTTTAAGAGAGGAATAAATGAAGACAAGCAGAGGCTTCTTGGTGACGCCTCGGCAGAGCCTCAGGACCGAAGGTTGTTAACCAGGCCCAGCCCTGCTGCTTCCTTTTCAAGGGAAACCCTTGGCTTTGGCATGGTTACCATGAGCAAATGTAAATGAGATAACCTTGCCAAGAAGGATTGTTTTCAAAAATACCAACCCAGTAGGTTGAATAAATGCCCCAAATCCTTTTTTCTCCTTTTCAAGGATCCAAATTATTCTTTCTCCTGGACTACAGCAGAATCAGGAAGGCAAGAATTAGAAACCTGAATTTTTAAAAATATCAGAAAAGCATTGAATATTTTCATTACAGTCACAGGCATTGAAAATAATGCTTCTTGATATGTACATCATCTGCCCGAAAACAAACACAAACTATAGGGATAAGGCTGGCTGATAGGTTTCTGGTAAATAGGAGTTTATAAATTAAATATTAATAGTTTACACTCTTTGTAAGTTAAATGCTTAAAACATGCTGGTAGCCATTTTTATTTTGTGGGCTTTATTTCATAGAAATAAAAACATTTTCATATGTTTTGAAGTTTACATTCCTAAGTGTGAGAAATGTATTTAATTCTGTAATTATGAATTCTATCACAAGGATTTCTAGGATCCTAACCCTGGCAGCTGGAAAGGACTTTTTTATATTAACAGGTTTCCTATTTTAAAAATTGAGTTGACTAGATCATTTCTTTTGACTAGAACATTTCTTTTAGAAAATGTCCTGACCCCATTAAGATAGTAATGCACACTCTTTGGTTTAATAAACGAGGACTGGGAATATCAAGAATGACCACATAGAACGACCACAAATAAAGCAATTTCCCAGGAGAGAAAAGGTCCTTGAGGAGGGAGTCTACTGGGCGGGGGGACCGTGAGTTCTCAGCTCCTGGAGACCTGCAGCTGTTCCCACCATTTCCCAGGGTGGTGCTCAGGGGAGGGGAGAAGCCACTACCTTGGCCGCTGCGGGGGGAAATGGTAGCTGTGGGCCCCAGATTAACTCGGCCACCTCTGAAGACCTATCAGTTCATTGCGATGGACCGTTTACTGCCCTGGCCTTTGAGAATTCAGTTAGGCCTTTACCGACTGGTTAGATGACTATAATCAGGGCGTACTGAGTCAGCTGGGATTCTGAAAACTAGGAGAGGGAACCCGAAAACGAAAAGAAAAAGCTTCGATGGAAATAGTATACAAATATTTACTTTTTAATTTAAGTTAATTAAAAAAAATTTTAATGCTTTTTAGAGAGAGAGGAAGGGTGAGGGAGAGAGAGAGAAACATCGATCAGCTGCCTCCTGCACACCCCTACCGGGGATGGTGCCCACAACCCAGGCATGTGCCCCGACTGGGAATCTAACCAGCAGCCTTTCAGTGCACAGGACAACGCCCAGCCAACTGAGCCACACCAGCCAGGGCTAGAAATAGTTAGTTAGTGGAGCCAAATCTTCCTCGTATGTGGTGTCCATTGTAAGAGAAAGGCGAGCAGGCCACTTGCCTAATTCCAACTGTGATTAAGCCTTAACATTTTTTTTCATTGTGACCCTGCATATATTGTGAAATCAGAACAAATAAAAGTAAATGCCGTATTATCATATCGACTCACTGGTCACGTACCAAGATAGCCAGCTGCTCATCTAATATTTTCCCTCCGTGTCCCGTTACTGGCGGCTGGTCCTAGTACGCGAAGGCCGGCCTCACGGCCAAGGCTCCAGCGGTGGTGTTGCCTAAGTGACCACAGCTCCGCGCTGTGTGCCTTTCGCCGTATGTCATCATCTCCTGGCTGCAGGCCCCTTATTCTGCCGGGATCACTTCCTATCCCTTGCTCCTGAGCTGACTAAACTCTTTGAATGGATTCTTTTGCTCCTCACGTCAGCCTGATCTTTAGATCTCCTGCAGCCCCTTCCACTGGCTCTACACTTGACTGTTTGTTCCATGAAAAATCTTCTGATTGGACATATTGGTTTATATTCAACGGTGATTTTATTCTTTCATCCCAGTAGTATTCATTACATTACCAAAAGTTATGAACATTTTTATTAGGTTCATATAAAATGTTTTTCACGAGAGCAATTGTATTCTGAAGCACAAAAGCCTCCAATTCATAACATTAAAAGCTCCAGGGCCTTAAATTTTAGGAAAATTATGCTTTTTTATTTCTCTTAAAAACTAGTTTAAAATTTTCTTTTAAAAACATTCTCAACTAGCCCTGGACTTGAGACTAGTTCCCCAGGAGAATCATTTTTTAGTAACTATTTATTTGCTTACCAGTTAATCCAAGACAACTTAATTTACCCTCACGCTTTATCTAGGAGTACAGAACTTTCCAGAAGAGTCAGAAAGAAATTGTAGTTTAATACTTTCCAGAGGAGGACAGGGAGCTCACACGTCCTAGATATTTGCTGTCTGTATTTATTGAAGCTTTCACCAGAGGGAGGCAGAGCTATGCATGAAAATTACAGTCAGTGCTCACTGAGACGTTGTCTGTCTCCATGAACAACACACGTGGCTGTGAAATTTACAGGCACGTATGTGAGTCGCATAACACTTGGGTTTCTGTCTTCGGGGAAATCGAGGCTGGGCGAGGAGGGTATTGTAAATTAGAGCCACTGGGAGGCGACCAGGACACCTTAGAATGACTCCGATATTCTGTGTGAAGCAACCTAATTTTATTGGGGTTTTTAATTGGGATGTTGAAATCATAGTTTATTACTGGGTATTATATATAAACATAAACATAGCCAAGAGGAAGTTATAGAATTTTTACTTCTGGAATTGCAGATTGGGAAATTGAGATTCATGGACCGTTCGGCTTTTTAAATGACTAGAAACGAAAGATGACAGTTTTCATTTCATAAAACTAAGTAGTAAATGCTGTTTGGAGTCTTTCCTTACTTTAACTTTGGATTGGTACCTAATTTTTACTGTAGTTATGTGTGTAAGGGGAGTGAACCAATCTTATCTTAGTTATATGTGAAGAAATTTGATTATTTATATATGTTGTTAAAAAACAGGCTTGTATGTAATGATAAATTCAGCATCTCATTTAAAAATTTTCATGTTTATTGTTTAAAGTATTCAAATAACATTAACCATGAGCAAATGAAAAATCAGTTAAATTGGTTACTTACATAGTCCATGTACGGTAAGTGTGATATGGAACTGGAAGTACTGGAACACTTTATTTCTCTGCTCCCCTTTTCCAGAATTCTCACTCATCAACGGCCCTCTTCAAGGTCCGTTACCTGAATTTTGTCAGTTGAGAAGTTAATGTAGCCTTAATTATGAGAATTTAAATATGTGAATAAATGTAGGATTTGAACACCGTTATATCAGTAAGTGGAATTCTCAAACAATAGAAGAGTTGTCTAATTGACTTTATAGTGTGTTTTCGGTGTTTTAAATAAAAGTAAAGCTTAATTGTCTCGTTTCCCCCTTGTCTTTCTAAACCCTGAGCTCCCATGTCCTCTGTCTTACTCCGCAGGCTTTGATCCAGTGTGAGCAGCTGAGGAGTGAACTGCAGAGGCAGGCAGAACGCCTTGAAAAAGAGCTGGCCTCTCAGCAGGAGAAAAGGGCCTCGGACAGAGAAATGATGGAGAAGGACCTGGCGAGAGAAAGGGAGGACATGGGCTCCAAGGTACTCAGGGTTCAGTTTGATGTCTGCGTCTTGGAGGAAAGTTTGTGGGGCTGTCACCGGTGATCTGTAGGCTGCAACTCTTGAATGAACTTTACATTTTAAGATCTTATAAGGAGTCAAATTTCTTGTCGCTTAGAGTTCATACAAATTTTCTGTTATCCACGAGTTTCTCAGTGTTGTATTCTCTGACCTTTGCAAATAGAATAATCGGTATGATTCCAATATTTGCACCCCTGTGTCCACAGCAGCACGATTTATAATACCTAACATCTGGAAACAGCCCAAGGGCCCGTCAGTAGATGAGTGGATAAAAAAGCTGTGGCACATTTACACCATGGAACACTACGCAGCTGTAAAGAAGAGGGATCTGTTACCCTTTGGGACAGCATGGAGGGACCTGGAGAATATTATGCTGAGTGAAATAAGCCAGGCAGAGAAAGACAAGTACCACATGCTCTCGCTTACATGTGGAATCTAATGAACAAAATAAACTGATGAACAAAATAGACCCAGAGACATGGAAGCATGGAACAGACTGAGGGATCTCAGAGGGAAGGGGAGAGGGGGATCAGTGGGAAAAAAAAAAGGGTCCTAGAACTTAGAGAGCTATAGATGCAGGTATTTTTAGTACCGGTGGCTTTAATGTCGTATATATGGTGTTGGTTTCTAAATCTTCAGCTCTCTAGTGAGCTCCCAAACCTGCTTCCTTCCCATCTTTTCTGTCCTAGTGGCACCACCATTCATCCAGTTACCCAGCTCCGAAATCTCGCTGTCATCTCTGTCCCCTTTCTCTTCCTAACCCTCCATTTCGTCAAGTTACCAAGTTCTAGAGATTGGGGCCGCTAGGGATTTTAGATTGCCTGTCACTCCAGCCCACTGTGGTCCACAGCTCACCCTCAGGGGACTCCTACAGCCCGAGCGCTCCTCATGCCTCCAGTCCCACCTCCTTCCCTCTGCTCTCTACACCACAGCCAGGACGATCTTTCCAAAATGAACATCTCAATGTCGGTCTCTTGCCTCTTGCTTTAAAATTCTTTCACGTCTCCCTGCAACCCCTTGGCTAAAATTTAGGATCCTTTAGCGCAGCATAAAGATTCTACATTTTTCTTCCCCTCCAGCTCTCCACTCCCACCTCCCTTCACCTTTCTTGCATCACCACAGTCCTGACATACTTGTCCTTTCTCAAACGTGCACACGTGCCAACCTGCCAAGCTACTTCTTTATTTCAGGAGTTGGCTTGTGCTTTGCCTCCTGCCCTCTCTGATGGATCCTTCAAAATTCTTCTTGATACCAGCTCCTCTCACAGCCTCCCAGGGATGAGTGGGCGCCTCTCCTGTGGGCTCCCATAACTCAACTGACTGCAAGTTCTCGTTGAGTCGATCTTCTCCCCTAACTACCCTGAGTGCCTTGATTGTATGGTCTCTCGACATCCTCATAGCTTGGGATGTTCCTCTCACATAAAATGTGCTCAGTATATTTTTGTCGGATGAATGAATGAATATAATACAAGAGACAACAGAAAGTCCCTGTGCCGTTGGAAAGGTATGAACAAAACGCTGAGTTCAGAGGATCAGAAAGGATCCCCATCTGTAAGAGACCATGGAAGGCTTCATGGAGAAGGTGGCATCTTAACTGAGCTTCAAAGGCTAGGGAAGAGTTAGAAATGCAGAGTATGGGAGGGAGTCCTGGCCCCGACCAGCACGAATGGGGCGTGGAGGGAGGTGAACTCGTGAACTGAGTGCTGCCGGAGAGGAAATGGTGTCAATTGCAAAGACCATCTACCCTTCACACCTCGGAGGTTTTTATTTATTTTCTGGGCTGTTGAGTGGAAACTTTTGCCTTGCTGAGTAGTTCTACTGTGTGAAAATCTCGATGAGAATTCCTGATAAGAAAAGACAAAGGAAGGCTGAAAGCACCAGGCAGTATTCCAGGCGCTCTCACTGTAACACAACCTCTTCTTTAGACTGACAATTGTTTCAGGAATAAAGGTGACAACGGAAATACAATATATTTCTGAGTCTGACTCATTTGTTTTGCCCCCAGTAAGTCTTGGTTGACACTTGATCTCAAGGCCCTGCCCTAAATCAAGGTGCCTGAATAGAGCTGAAAGTGGTCCCAGCACGGAGGCGAGCGCTGTCGCCAGCAAATGGCAGAAAGTGGCTTTGGAGTAAAGGGCTTTAGGGTTGAATCTAAATTGACCTTACTGTGACCTTGAAGAATTCTTCTGACAAAAGTGGAGTTGATCTACTCAAGGAATTGATTGGGTTAAATAAGAGAATGTTTTGAAAGTGTACCCAATACAATACCTGACTGGGAATGGACATTTCACAAATCTTAGCTTGCGGCTACTGCATACTCCAGAGAAAGAGAATCGTCTCATTAGACAGACTCCTTGGCTCTTCTCGTGACTAAAAGCAGACAGATTTGTATATAGAGCCCAGCTTTACCCTTTATTTATGAGCGTGAATGAACCTGGGCGAATTACTTAACTTACTGAATCTCACTTTTTCAATTGAAAATTAATCCAATATAATTCTTCCTCCCAGGGGAGCAGGAGGGAGTGTCTGTCTTGCTGCCCAGCACAGGAAGTTAATCGAATGGGAGACAGACGAGTTCATCACAACGTTGTAAATGTTCCCTGGTTAGTGCTAGAGCGAGCGCCCCGGCCCTGGCAGCAGGAATGCTTGCTTGCAAGACTTCTTTCTTTTTGTGACTTTTCTTCTTTCTCTCTCTTTTTTTTTTTGTCTTCTTAAAAAATCACTTGTGTGGGAAGCTGTAGGCGAGCAGATGCCTTCTACCTAGACAGGTTTTGAATCATTCCCCGGGAAAGGTGCTGGCTGTGTTTGTTTGTTGTCTTAAGTGATGGCCTTTGGTTGCAGGAGCCCCTCGGGTGTCAGCTCCGTCATTCATCATGTGTTTCTCAGGCGCCCACTTGCTTCCCTGGACAGTAGCCCTTTGCTAGACTCCGCGATTCTTGCGTCCCTTGTTTAGGGAGAGCCACTTTATCCCAGGCTCAGGACACCGGGGACTGCTTTAGTGCAGACATTTCTGTCAAGCCCTCCCCACCTGGGTGTCCTTGTCTCTCGCTCGCCCCTGTCAAAGTTGAAAGGACTTACCTGATGTCCCTGCCCTGGACACCCAGCAGTGTGCCAGCTGTCTGTGTTGCTTCTGTCTCGGCAACAGATGTGGATGGAGAAGCTCCTGCGGAGTCATGGTGACTTCCAGATGGTGGGCGTGGGGGAAAAGAAGGTGTGACGACGGGAGGGGAGGCCTCAGGAAGTGGGCGACAGGAGGGAGCAGACAGGTAATGGGCAGGAGGGAGAAGTGATGGGCGGCAGAGGGAGGGAATCATACGGAAGGAGTGTGATTTGCCACATGCCTTATAATAGAAACTGACTCAGTATTTACAATGAGCAATTCTGCTAATATGTCTAATAGTTACTTCAAAAACCACACAATATTTATATGTTTACCATAAATATCTCCGCATAAGTGATATATGATTTTTTAGTGGCTGGTAATTAAAGTTTGTTGCTGCTCTATGGCTCCAGAAAAGCTATCATGACACATTCATCACATGTAGATTCGTGAACTTGAATTTTTATATTAAGGAAATTAAATTAATATTTTTGATTGGTTACATTTAACTTCTTTTGACCTTTAATTTCGGGCTCAGATTTGTAATGTGCATAAGAATGGTTTGTAGCTTTGTGTTAGCAAAAGTAATTTTATGTACAAATTAGATTTGTAGCCAATCTTTTGATGATAAAAAGGACATATAAACAACCATAAGTCAAAGAGACAATTCTCCACAATCCTCAGAAAAGTTAATGCATCTCCTGTCTAGATTAGAAAACAGCCACAGGACTTATTTTTTTTCATATGTGTCAACTTCAGTTATAGATTTCAAAGGCAATCTTGATTTTTATCATAAAATTTTAGTTATTGAATTTAGTTGTAAAACTGAATTTACATTTGTGAAAGTGTACAATGGTAGACTTCAAGGGTTATTATTTCAAATTCGTTATCAGTCCTTGTTGTAACAGTTTAAAAGCTGACGGATATCCCTATATGTTTTGCTCTGGGGTAAGGTAGCTTTTTTTTTTTCATTTTAAAACTGCTAATACGAGTAAGAAATTAAGAGCCTAGAAAATCTGTATTTACTGGGGAAAAGTAAAATGTAATTACAAACAATAAAACTATAAAGGTTGGAGCTAAGATCTAGAAAGCATTCCTAACACTGAGAAGAAAAACGAAGAACCTGGTATCCATAGAGCCCCTCAAAAAAGCCGCTGATTTAATTATTCATGCATCTACCAAACATTTGGGGCCTCTTGAGGAACATGCCCTGGAGAAACTTAGAAGTTCTAGAGAGGAATCAGATAGCTAAGCAGTGTGAGAAGTACTGTGCTAGAGGCATGTAGGGGCTGGGGCGAGAGAGAGGTGGTCGTAGGAGCACGTGCCAGAGTGACAGTCAAAACATTAAACCCGAGAACGCAGGCCCGCTGCAAACAACAGGCAGGACTACCCCAGTGCCCATTAGCTGAATAGCAGCCCTGAGTGTGGGAAGGAGCTTCTGTTTTGTGCTGGGAGCTGGGGGTCAAAGAAGCCTCCCTGGAGGAGAGGGCAATGGCCCAGTGCAGCGTTACAGGAGGAACGGGCTAGCTAGGAAATGGGAAGGCTGGGGGACTGCAGAGCGCCTCCTCTTTAGGGTGTTGGGGGGAGGGAGGGGGCTTCGGAGACCTCCAGGAGCTCTCTCTGCAGTTGTCTGCCCTCCAGCTCTCCCCATCTGTCCTTCCCTGCCCTCTGCATGGGAGGCGGCTTCACCAGTTGTCTGATTCCTTGACAGAGGCCCTGAAATTTAGTGACGTCAGTCTCTCCTCCATAACGTACATAGGTGTCTGCTATCTATCACCTTAGAGTTGCAACCAAAACTTTGATTTTATCATCATGTTTCCCAAAATGAGGGTAGAAACCAGGGAAGTAACATATTTAAGCCATGGGGGACAGATGAGTTGAAGATGTAAAGAAGTGGACATGCCCAACCCACAGAGAAATGACTTCCAGAGAGCTCAGTGGCTGAGGCTCTTAGGAATTGTACATCTTTTTAATATTTAGTTTGCCAAATGACACTACCATTTAGGGCTTCTATTTCCTCTTACAGATGTTGGCTCTTTCTCAGAACATTGCCCAGCTGGAGGCCCAGGTGGAAAAGGTGACAAGAGAGAAGGTTTCAGCTATTAACCAACTAGAAGAAATTCAAAACCAGCTTGCTTCCCGGGAGATGGACGTCACAAAGGTACAAAACAAGGTTTCAGTTTAATAATTACTCAGATGTTTTTTTAAAACATTTTTTCCTAATGTGCAAAGCTCAGAAAGAAGTTTGGAGCAGAGAAGTTTTGTTAGTTCCAGATAATACAGGTCCACCTAGTTGTCATTCAGAAAACATTTACAGCACTTACCATGNTTTCCAGATAATACAAGTCTACCTAGTTGTCATTCAGAAAACATTTACAGCACTTACCATGGGCAGGCCCTTTGCTGGGTGTTGCAAATACTGCAAAAGATGAATTAGACACATATAATATTCTCAAAGAGCCTAAGAGCTCAGTGGCTGAGGCAGACTATTAAATAAGAAAGCTTTATTACTTTAATCACTGAATATTTGATAAAACTAGTATTTTTAAATTTGCTAATCAGGAGTAATTTTTGCCAGAGAGGGCATAGGTTTGATCTTCATAATAATACTAAGAGACATATTTTCAACATGAAAAGTGTGCTTAACATCAAAAAGTTTGTACCTCCCCTTTATTTTCCGACTTGGTCTCTAAAATCAGAATTCTAATCCTACAGCTAATTATTTTATTGGTCTTTAAGTTTATACTTTAAAAGTCACAGTGTTTGCTGTATGGGCATCTCAGTCTTGTGAACCTAGAACTAAAATGTTTAATGGCCTTAACTGTCTAATGTAAGGTACATATTTAAGAAATGCTAGGAGTCCATGTAGATTTTAGTAATCAATTGCTTTAACGCAAAGAAACTAAATACCTGATGTAATGTTAAACGAATTTATTTTTGACCAGTACATACACAGATTATTTTTAAATGCATACATACCCTTTCATATTGAATTTTACTACTCAACATATTTTCCTAAATTTTGACACACTAAGGTCGTTGTTGCTTTATAATTTAGTAATTAAAGTGAACTTTAACATCATGAGCCTAATTTTTCTTTTTTCCCCTTGAACTTATATAATTATCATTTGCTTTTTAAAATCAAACTAGCAAATGCAGAGGTTTAAAAATATCACATTTGCCAATATAATTGATGTGTTTGTATGAGGGGAGAGGTAGAAGTAAAAATTGATGCAGAGGGATGGAAATGGTTAACCCAAATTTATGGGTGAAAGCTATGGCAAGGGTTGTCGATTCATTATAGGGAAAGAACTTTCTGTTGAAATATGTACAATTATAGAAAGAACATGATCTGTCCTTAGAATTGTCCAAAGGGACTCAGGCATCAGAAGAGTGCCTTGAGATTGCTTCCAACCTTGAGATAATATCATTCTAGCCCAACTTAATTTGTCAATGTATTTTAAGTAGAATTTAAGTGTTATGGATAAACTTAGCAGATGCTAAACTGAAAGGAAGAAGGCAAGGGAGCTTTCAAAATAAAATTAAGGGACAAAACAATTTAAAATGAGACCTCCTGCTTAGACATTTATTACATATAATAATTTTGTGTTGGTGTTGGGTTTTAAACACCGTGATTGTATAATTATTATTTCCTGGTATTATCAAGTTGGATATTGTCATTTCATTCACGTATGTAAATCAAATGGGTTGAAACAATGAAGAACTAAGAAGGAAAGGAAATTAGGGCCCCTCCAATTTTTTCTGTCACTTAGTTTTAAAATTTTATTTAGCTTTAAAATGAATAACTTTTTGTAAATTGCTAATTTTTTGAAATGGGAAAGATCAGCTCTCACACAGTGAAAGCACTTGAATTTCAAATAGAACTTTCAGTAATTTTATTCTTTTTCTAGCTTTTTGGATAAAATCTTGGTGGTTTTTTCTTCTGTCTTGTCACTATACCTTTTGAACACAGATTAGATGATTTTTAAACATATTTTTTTATTAGAACATAGGAAATGCACATAGGTTTTCTAAGATTCTAGTACCTTGATATTGATGGTACTAATTCCCAAAGTTCTATTCATCATATTTGGAGAAATACCAAATTTGAAAAGTTTCAAGCAAGTATAACCATTGCATGACACATGATTTTTAAAACTTGTTTTTGTAAATGAGAGGCTCACTGAGCCGAACTGTGTATTAATTCGTCTCTCTACAGGTTCTCAGTTATCCCAAAGGCTTGTAATTTCTTTACTTGGATTTATCTAATTGCATTTTCCAAATATGTTTATGTCTATAGAGAAGACAGATTGGAAAACAATTGTATAAAGGACAGTTTTAAGATACTGTGCATGTTCATTATTTAATGATACATTAGAATAATTACACTTAAGTGTATGTTTTCCTTTTATGTTAAATCTATAGTTACAAATGCAAAATGTGCTTAGTTCCAGCTTGTGACCTTTACCAGACAACCTTTCCTAACTTAAATACATGTTATTGTGCATCATAAGACTGACATTATCTACAAAGCTTAGAGTGACTACTGGCTACTACCCCTAAATATCAATGATGTAGTCTATTCAAAGAGAGAAAAACTTTTTAAATAAATTTTCTTAAATAAAATAGTAACCGATAAAGTCTTTAAAGGGAAGTTTTATAATACAGAGTGTCTATTTAACCATAGCAATTTAAATGAGTAATAACATAGCTTAGCATTTTAATGAATAATTTTGCCTAGTTGAAATTGAGAGAATGCATTTTGGATGAGCAGTTGAAACAGTGGTTTTACATAATAAGTCATGGACACATTACCTAAATTCCTTAGTTATTTTAGGTAACCCATAATTTGAAATTGTTAGACTCAGCAATACCTGATGCGGCCTCCGCATCTAGACAGAATATTCTACCGAGTGGTCTCATAAAAGCAAGCGCCGGTCTTAGAAAAGCTTTATTGTATTTTATTCAAGTGACCTCTAGGGGGCACCGGAAGACCTGCCTGCGGCCTGGCCGGGCGGTTCCGCAGCCACTGATGCGGTTTCCCACTCTCACAGGTGTGCGGGGAAATGCGCTACCAGCTGAACAAAACCAAGCTGGAGACGGACGAGGCCGAGAGGGAGCAGAGAGAGTACAGGACGAAAACGAAAAGGGACCTTGAGAGGAAGGATGAGGTAAGAGGTGACACGAGCGAGCACCGGGGCTTGGATGCTCGGCCCCAAGTTGCTGTGCTTTTTTTCCCCCCCGAGTCATTTATTTCTCTCATATTGTTTCCACCTAATAGAATGATCCGGTTTGTGCTCTTACAAGAACTTCATTTAGAGTTGCCTCAAATTATCACCTTTCACACGCAATGGTGAGAATACAACTGCATGCATATGAAATTCCAATCTGACAGGTCATAAATATACATTTGGATTATGTGTATCTATTACTTACAAAAGTAAAAAAAAAAATGTTCTAATGCACAGTTTGAACCTAAAATATACGAACATAAAGTTCTCGCAGGATGCCAACTTGAATCCAATTTTAAGTGAAAAAGTTTAAAATTTGTAAGATGGGATGAGTTGATATGTAAATATGTCAATCAAATTGATTGTTGGCAGCGTGAAACCAGTTTTAACCAAGATACCCAGGAATACGTTCGCTCAGGGTGCCTAAGTACAGTGAATTAGAAATGTTAGGGAGAAGATTCTGCCTACTTCAATTTCAATTTGAACAGATGTTTTTCATGTTATATGTTTATTGAGATCATATAGATGCCCCAATTTTAATCAACAGCATGGATAAAAAGTTTAGAGAAGCAGTTCTAATAGGCTGACCTTGATTTTCTGTTTTTATGTTACAACACAAACCACTGAAGACTTTCATTCTTTTTATTCCAGGAAAGCAGGTTGATAAATCTATTCAATTAAAATAAGACAAGTCTTAGTGTCAGTGTTTTAAAGAAATTGGTGCAATTTAAAAGCAGGTAGCCCTCAGTAAATTTTTTAAAAACATGTTTCCAGTTGAAAGCTTTTTATCGTATTTGCCAACATATTTTCCCTTTTGACCCGATCAACTCTCTACGACGTAAATACAACTGGGAAAAATATTGAAAATGAAAGTAATCATGAAACTTAGTATAAAAAGTTTTTCAAGTCATAATGGAAATCCCTGGCGTTAGATTAAAATCTAAACAAATAAAATCAAACTCTGCTTTTGTATCACTATATTCAAAGTGTTAGAGAATTTCACGTTTTCAGAATTCTCATTATTAACAGGCACAAATTATGGAACTATTTATTCCATCCAGTTGGGGGCGTGCCTGATAATGGAATCGAAAATCCTTTCTATCGGGGACTGAAGGTTAGGACTATCGGACCAAACACGGAACTTTCCTTTGCTGGTGTATTAGGATTTTTTTTTAAGTATCACGTTCGCATACTCACTAGCATTGTTATATACTTTTTATGTTATTCTATAGCATCTGCCAGCATAATGTTTTGGACTAACTGGGAAAACACAGCAAGGAAGAATTTCTGAGTTATTTCAAATCACATTATAAGGTCCCACAGAGAAAAAACACTTCAGGGAACAATAACATGGTATCATCACTTGTAAATGAAAAAACGTGTATGTCTTTATAATTTTAGTCTTTTAGCATTATATCTCACATCTCTTTTTAATTAACCAGCACTGATGTGGAGGCTAAAGGTGCAGGATTTTAAAAGGAGCCCTTTTCACTTGAAAACACTTCCTGCTAAATAATGAAACATTAACAGTTGTATGATTTTTAGTGCTGTTTTTAGACAGAGATGTGCCTTTTCAGGAGATCAGAGAGTTAGGAACAAAACCTCTGAAGAGTCACAAGACGTTTGTGATGCGAGGCCCTTGTGACCGCTTCTCCTTGGACAGAATGTGAGGAAATCTTATAGGTAGTCTTTGTCACTGTTTTGCACCGAACAGACAGTTTCAGAAAAGAGAGCGGTGGTGTCTCGTTCCATGGATGACCTGGAGGAGCAAAGCAGTGATTGTTCTTTGGTCTTTCAGCCATGACCTGACCTTCTGTCTGCGAGGCCCAAGAGCTACTTGGCTTGGCCACCATCTGCACTCAAGAGAGAAATTTACATTTAACTTTTAGCAGCTGGGCATGTTGAGCATTTATCTGCCTTACTTCTAACAATATAAAGGGTGTTTAACTTTTTAACTCTTACAAATCGTGCAGTTGAGAACAACAGGAAGGTGATCTCTAGGTGTACAAACAAGGGTGTTCCTTGGAACACAGTCATTTCAGTCATATTTTTGCTAATCGGACCCCTTGGCACATCTCTAAAGTAGGTGGGAAACTGAGACTGGAATGTGGTCAGAAGAAGGGCTTTTTTGATGTATCTAAATAGGGCAAATGGTCCACCACCAAAGTCATTTTCCCTGTGACCCGAGCCTTGACTGTGGCGTAATTAGGAAGAAAGGTTAGGAGAGTAAAAAGGCGATCTCTTCCTCCCACTTTCTCTCTCTCTTTTGTTTTTACTGTGTCAGGAATCCATGGGGGGATTACCCTTTGCATCAACCCCTATGTGCTCTTGAATTAGAGAGCCCCTGTCGACCTCACAGGCTGCTTCTTGCACACACAAAAAAGACACTTGGTGTGGAGGACAATGAAAAAATCTGTATCTTGATTTTTATTAGAAAATTTGTGTAAGCAACAGGTGCACACACATACACCCCATTGTGGGAATTTAAAAACATATATGAAGATAAAGAGAATATTATAATGAATTCCCACTTTCCTTCAGCAGCAGCCTTCTGCCAGCTCTATTCCTCCATCTCACATTTCTCTCTCCTTTGTCTGTCTTCATATCATCAACTTTGCCTTCTCCGCCTCCCTTCCTCTCTTCTTGTCTCTTCCTCCCCTTCTCTGGTGAAGTATTTAAGACACATCTCAGACCCTGTTTCATCCATCAGCACTGCTCTGTGCATCTATGAAGTACTTTTTCATAATCACTCCGTCATGATCACACCTAAGAATATTAACAGTAATTCTATAGTATCATCTAATGCTCAACCCATACTCAAATGTCTTCCACCATCTCAACAACATTTGTTTTACACTTGGTTTTTTCAAATCAGAAGGGTAGGTATGTTAGAATGTTACAGCGTGGCCTTTTTAAATAGGAAATAAAGGGAAATAGTACAGAATTTCAACTTTCTTTGTTGTTTTATTAAACTTCATGCACAATCATTTGATTGTGCTTTATATTTATAAGGTGACATCACTTGAAAGGAATAGGAATCAGTCCTGTGGGAAGCTGGTCGAGGGGAATGGCTACACGCGGGCGCGCCAGTCGCCAGGCCCTGAAAGGAGCCCCTAGAGTCTGAAGCTCATGACACATAATGAATTTCAGAGCCTCACACCTTGGGAACTGAGGCTCAGGAATGCCGCAGGAAGCCCTTCATTCCCCGGGCACTGCAAAGGTTGCCGACTCTGAAATGAGTGGAATTCTCTTTGTCAGCTTCCATTTTGGTAGATGAATCTCAGAAGATGATTCTTTAGGGCCCTAGGCTTTGATCAGGGCCTCGTGCAAAATGAAAATACAGGGCCCTTTGTTCAAAAAGCAGGAAAAAGTGAGGTTCAAGGTAGAAAAAGATAAATGTTTTCCTTTCGTCTCTCACCTGACCCGTCGTGGTGTTTTCTGTTTGCTGTTTAAGGTCGGGGTCCCTCCTGCACAGGGACGCTCATGGGAGAGTGCAGGCGACACACATTTCCAGCGACTGGGCCTGCACATGTGCCCCTGGCTTCTGGGTGCTCCCTGCCACCGGCCAAGGACATACAGACCACCCCAGTGGGAGCGGAGGGAGTCACTCTTACCAGCCCAAGGCGGTCAGACACACGACCCCCTAGAGATTGCACCCTCCAATGAGGACACACTCAGTCCCTGGATCAGGGGGACCAGCGGCTCCACACTGAGTCCCCTGGGTTTCCTGTGGTGCAGCCACCCTGGGACAGGGATGGTCACCTTCGTGTCTTGCCCTGAGATGCCAGGAGGGTACACGCTCCACCCAACCTTCCCCAGCCTCACATCCAGGCTCCTGCCAGGAGCAAGGGACGAGAGAACAGATGTCACCCTGGGTGAGGACAACAAGGTCACAGGTCAGGGCGGGAAGAGGAGCTGGAGCGGAGCAGTGTTTGAGGACTGCCCCCTGGGCTGCTGAGGGACAGGGGAGAAACAAGAGCACACACAGAGCCTGGCTACATTGTTCCATCAGACTTCACTCAGAAACCCAAATTCCAGTACAAAATCCTTGAGGTTTTAGCCCTGGCCAGGGTGGCTCAGTTGGCCGAACACTGGCCAATGCACCGAGGGGTTGCAGGTTCGATTCCCAGTCGGGGCACATGCTTGGATTGAGGGCTCGGTCCCCAGTGGGAGGTATGCAGGAGGCAGCCGATCGATGTTTCTCTCTCTCCCTCTCCCCTCCTCTCTCTCTAAAAATCAGTAAAATCAAATCAAATCCTTAAGACTTTCAAGACGTCCACCACAGAGCATTAAATTGCAAGCACAGCTCACACGCCCATGAAGCGGCCGGGGCCGTGGGGCAGGCACACGATTGGGTGTCTAACGCACATGCATATACCCCACTGACAAATACAGACGTGGGTTGGCCACCGGTAGCCCAGGGCCCTGCTGCCCATTTGCACAGATCAAGTTGTGCTAGAGCCACCCACACCCGTTTGTTAATGTGTTGTCTGTGGCTGCTTGGCCGCCACTAAGGCAGAGTTGAGGGGTCGAGGCAGAGACCACATCGCCCACAAGACTGAACTAGTTATTGTCTGACCCTTTCCAGAAAAAGTTTGCCAGCCCCGCCTGGAGGACAGCAATACAGCTGTGAAAGTTTCCCTTGCCTTATGAGAATGCAGAGCTCAGTGCCATGTACAGGTCATGTGTCACAGGAATGTGCGCCTGAAACCTACATGATCCTATTAAAAAGTCACCCCAGTAAATTTAATTTTAAAAAATACAGAAAATGTGGAACATTGAGTTAGATGTTAAATGATAACATCATGGCTTTCAAGTGTTTACTGTTCAGCAAATATGCCGCATCCCTGGTCTTTTAGTCATCTGATCACGTGGCCAACTGGGTTATAGTGTCATTGTCTGATTAGTGGCACGTGGCTTACTCATGGCTTCGATGGGAGTATAAATACTTTAAAAATGTATCTCTACTATTTTTTTTTAGATTGGTAACAAAAACTGTAGAGATAAGACTTTCTTACCAGCATGTGTAAGTTATAATTCTGGAGTTGTGGCTACTATTGAGTAGGAAGGATTGCAGTTCAAAATTACCCGAGTGGGGTAATCAAAGCAGGTATTTAAGGGT